CTCTCGTCGATTGGCTCCCTATTTTCGCTCGTTAAAGTCAACGTTCAGTGTACACCACCACATCGACCAGTCAGGGTCAACATCTCTCTCTCTTTCTCCACCTCCCCCGTGGCTGAGAGAAGCTTCCACTGTCAACGAGAGATGTCAACTACCCTGAGAGACGTGGTGAATATTTCTCTGGCAAAGGTTACACGAGAAAATTCTCCTCGTGAATTTCGTGCGCTTCGATGGTGATTTTTAGCACAGGAAGCGTGTATATAAATTCGCTGGGAATGTTTCGGTTTTGTTACAATCTTTGAAAGTGAAAACAACGGATCGGTTGTTTGCTAATGGAAGTTTGAAAAATCTGGTCGAAGCGTATCGCGTTGGTGAATAAAAGGGTTAATTGCGAACGCGTGATAAGGTAGAAAATAAATAGCGATGGTTATCTAAATTATAGTACTCAATGTGCGTCAGTGATAAAATGATCGTCGGATATCTGTTACGTCCAATCAGAAATATGTCGACGAGAAATTATGTCTTTGCTAAAGATGGAAACTGTCTTCGAGATAAGTACGTACGTCAATGCTGATACTGTATCTTATCGAGCTTTCCCGCTTTTGCATAGATCGTAATCTTTGATCGTTCTGAGAAATTGTCGTCAAGTTGAACAAAGCTCGTCTGTGTGTCGGAGTTGCACCGAGGGAGAGAGAAATTATGCAAATTACAGAGAGTAGGCACGGGTCTATTATTTCATTTGAAACGAAAAGGCTTACTTCTACCGTCGCGTATTAGTCGAATGAAAAGGGACTGAGACCTTCGTTACGAGACCTTGGATTCGGAACCTGACTCAACGCACCAGACATTTGATATCGAGGTTAAATGTTCCTCTCCGGTCGGGAGAGGGAAAAAAGAGAACAGTTTGTTTCTCTTAACAAAATTCGCGAGGGCGTCGAAAGATTCCACGCATACCTCTATCTACCAAACCGAGTTAATAAATCCGAATTTCTGCAACCTTTCTCGTTCAGGTTCTTCCGTTAATTCGATACTCGCGTAAAGAACAATTACGAGATTCGATTTGCAACGCTTATCGGTGAATCGGATCTCACGGTTTCGAAACTTGTGTTTTCTAGCAACGAATAATAACGTATGTATGAAAATCTTTTCCGGCAGGTTGGAACGTCCGGCGGCAGTGCTACGACGTGTATATGCTGAAAGTCTATAAGCCGCTGAAGAGTATTTTTGTCCGTGGATATTATCGATTGCATATACCCCTGATTCGTTCCCTCTTTCTCCCGCACATGTACACTTCTCTCCTCTTCGTTTTATTTTTCCTCCTATGTATCTACGGGTTCCTCCGATCCCGAAACTGATAGGCAAGTTCTGCGCAACGTTTTACCTTTACTATACACGCCTATTTTTAATAAGACAGACCGAGTTAAGT